CGGTGGCGCTTCAGACTGGGGGTGGGTGTGAGGGCGGCCTAGCGTGGCGCGTAGCGGGCGCGATTTGTATGCGTGATTCGTCCGAGGGTTGGGCGCTGCCGGCGCGGCGTGGAGCGAGGTAGGATGGAGTAGGATTGGGTACGAGGGCCGCCCGGCGTTAAGGTAGGCCGACACGGCAAATCCAGTGTGCGCGCCGTGCGGGCTGGCGTGCGAGCCGAGCGAGCAGCCTTATGGAAGGGCAGTCAAACCGATTGGCGTAAAAAGGCACTGCCCAGCCCACAGGCCGGACTTTTCATCGAGGAAGTCAACATTATTCTTCTTCGGAAGATTTCGAAATCTGGATCCAGATTGCGGCAAAAACAATGTCTGATTTTTCGAGGGAAAAGAGAACTTTTAGGAACTCCCACAATTTTAAGAAAACTCAGAATTTGAGAGTATCCCTAAAAAATGTGTGATTTTCCCCCATTTCTTGATGAGATATCCTGAAAATAACGAGGAGTTTTCCTAAACTAAAGGTGTCCTTTTTTCTCTTTTAAAAAAATCAGACAGTACTCTTACTTTGCACTTCATGGTGTTGCTGGCGGCGAACAGATGTGTTAATGGTTTTTAGCGGCTTCTGGATCCCGTTCTTCGTACTTGTTTTCAGTCATCTAACGTCGTGTTCTCCTCCCTCCACAGGGCCAGCCGGTGACGCACAACCTGTCCCAGGGCGTGATCCTGTCTTCCAAGTCGCTGGTGCTGCAGCGGGTGACGCGGCGCCAGGCGGGTGGCTACACGTGCCACGCGTCCAACGAGCGCGGCAACACCACCAGCCGGCCCGTGCACCTGCGCGTCAAGTGTGAGTAAAACAAATAGGGCCTCTTTAGCACATTAAAGCCAGTCGATACAACTTGTACGTCCGGTACATTTCTCACACCGAGAGACTCTATTAGTCCGAGCATTAGTCCCTATGACTAAATTCGTGTTGAAGGAAACAAAATTTACTCCCTAAATCCAACGAAACGTTTAATCAAGCTTTTACAATGAATTGTGACCAGCCCAACCAAAAATTGTCAAACTGATTACTTTATATCGACCTGACTAAATCGGACTAAATCATCCAATCAAAACGGTTGAAATTTGGTCGATGGAAACAAACTTTCGTTGGTTTTCTCAACTCTTAATTTCGTTGAGTTGAACAACCGGTTTTCTGAGTGCAGTTCCTGACATAGAGCAGTGTTCCGAGTTGAGAGTTGGGTTGGTTACGTGGGATCTAGAATCATCGTACTTAAAACAATCGTCGCCGTTCTTTAGGTTTATGGTAGCTTTTGGTCATCATGATCTTGGTGTAGCCATCGTGTCCATGGGTTTTTAGGGACAGGGATTGAGTGCAATGGCTGATATGATTTCGCTGACTCCACGATTGAGTCTGTCAGACGATTCATCTCTTAAATTGGAATTCGTCCCGAAGTCGTCCTGGAGTGAGCTGTGCAGATGCGTGTCCGCGCCAGGCTCTGCTTGCGGTGCGCAGGCCCCGAGTAATTATAGCCCGTTACTACCCCGGCGACATCGTGTTTCGGCCAACTTACTTCGCCGTGAAGGAAAGTTTGAGAAGCTTGACGCTGCGAGGGGTTAGGAGTGGGTGGGGGTTTAGCGTCGAATCCGCTTCTAACTAATACCTGCTGTGTGTCGGCGCGGTACTACTTACACGAGACAAACTTGTCCTTCGATTGCGCCTCCGGGCTGACGACCCGGCGGGGCGGCGCGGGCAGGGCGTCAAGTTGGAGGGAGCTGCTGGATACACACGACCTGCACTAACTGGCGTGGCCCCGGGCAGCGCGTCGTGTCGCTGCTGCTCGGCAACCCTGCCCGGGTGCACCTCGTGGGAGTTCAGAATAAAACCGGCCGGCCGATTCGCCCATCTCCTCGTGCAGGCGATACAGTCCAAGTAGACTAATCAACCACCTGGTATGCAGCGACGACAAAAACAAATAATGCTTAAATATTGCCACCTATTCATGGTTATTCCTTGTTGCCCATCGACGATATCGGGTGGGTGAAGCAAGAAGGGAAACGTAGGATCTCCCCTCCCCTCGCATCGCAGGCTTTCTGCCACACGCGATCCGGCACCGCAGGAGTTGCCCCACATCTCAGAGAGAGAGAGAGAGAGAGAGAGAGAGAGAGAGAGAGAGAGAGAGTACGGAAAAATCACTCTGGGTGGTGTCTTCATCGCTTGAGCCTCTGCTGTCAGTACCTTCTCGTGGCCGTCTTTTTTCTAGGGACTGGCGTTAACATAATTTTTCATTGCGCCCCAAAAATTATCGTCTGTTCGAAATTTTCACTAGCACTATACATTTTCTTTTGCGCTGCTGCTGTTTGGTCTATTTCTACTCTCCCCAGCTGGTCTCCGACCAGCCTACTACCAGCCTTCGACCAGCCTACTACCAGCCTTTGACCAGCCTACTACCAGCCTTCGACCAGCCTTCGACCAGCCTACGACCAGCCTACGATCAGCGGTAATGGATCACAGTCCGAGCAGCTGGTGGACGTAAGCCCTTCGTCACGCGACGACAGCCATGTTCTCAAGTACCGCTGGGCCCTCTTCGACCGAACTTTCGCTTCCGCCGCCTCTGCCCGCCCCCGCTCCTAAAGGCATGCGCGTGACCGGGGAGACCTATCCCTCCCCCGACCGGTATGCAGGTGATGAAGTCTTTGATTAAGTTGCAGAGTGGAGAAATCCAAGGGTAATAAACCTGGACTGAGGCATAGGCGGCGGCGGTGGTGGGCGAGAGGGGGG